TTATTAGTTTGAAGCCTGCTACCCATTCATTTCATTTGGTGTCCTCTAGTCCTTCTATTATGGGAACTAATGAAGAACTTTTCTTTATACACCCTCTCCACACCACTCATGCTTTTATAGACCTCTATCATATCCCCCCTCAGTCTCCTCTTTTCTAAGCTGAAAAGTCCCAGTCTCTTTAGCCTCTCTTCATATGGGACCTGTTCCAACCCCCTGATCATTTTAGTTGCCCTCCCCTCTCCCACCCTCTCTCTTCCCCTCTCCCACCTCCTTTTCCCAGTCTCCCCGAGTTTTGTTCAATAAAGAGAGTTTCTATTTTTGAACACACATGTCCTTTATTTTGTACATCAGGAAGGGGGGCTAGAGAGGGGTAAGTGGAAGAAGGTGAGGGAGGAATGGGGTACGAGCCCCCGATGGGGAGGACTGGGCTGGCTCTGCGGGCTCCTCGGGGTGGAAGCTCTCCTGAAGCCCCTTGATTGACCCCCCCCCCACCCTGCGGCAAGTGCAGCCGGGCTGATGGCCGAGTGCTATGATGTGCCAAGTGTGGGCACTCAGGGCACTCCAAGCCAGGACTGCTTTGCAAGCGGGGCACCCCTGAGAACTGTCTGTCCGGAGTGGGGGTCGGGTCCCTTTAAGCACAGCCCTCGGCTAGCCTGAGGCAGCAGCTCCACACTCTAAGTCCTAATCTGATGCCCTGCCAGCACTGCTTCCGGCCATTCTTAACCTCAGTTCAGGGTCCACTCAGTGTGGACATGCTAGTTCGAATTAGCAAAACGCTAATTCGAACTAATTTTTTAGTCTAGATGCACTAGTTCGAATTAGCTTAGTTCGAATTAACTAATTCGAATTAAGTTAGTTCGAATTAGCGCTGTAGTGTAGACATACCCCGAGTTACAAAGTGAAAAGGAATAAAGTAGGGAGGATATTTGCTTCAAAGAATAACTCATGAAATAAGGGGAACTGATAGGAGTGCTGCAGAGGCTTGAGACTAATGGTCTTTTCTCCATCTCATCTATGGGTGGAACATGCAGAAGGGTGAACAAATGGCAAGTTCAAATTAAGGATGTAAGGGAGTAGCTGTGTAAATGGGTAACTGATAAACATGAGCTTATTGGTGACCCAAATTGCTACACATGGCTCCTGGTCTGGCTCCCGGGAAGCTGCCTGCCACCCCGCAGCATTGTGGGGTGGCAAGCGGGAGCTGCTACGTGAGGGGAGCTAGCTTAAAAGCTGCCTCCTGATGTGCACCAGTTCTTAGGAAGATGTCTGATGCCCCATGCTGCTGCTTCTGTATTAGAGGCAACAGTGTGGGGCAGCAGTCGGTTCCCTGGGCGTGGGGTAGCAGGTGGAAACTGTGGTTCTGGAAGCCAGCTTTTAAGTTGGCTCCCAGGGAGCTGGCTGCCATCCCGTGTGCAACTGTGTAATGGCTGAAATTGTCAACGGTTACACTGTTAGCAAATTACACTGATTTCAACACCCCTTGTTTAAACAGCAGATTCATGCACATTTACACAATGTGGCCTTGAAAATCTGTAGATCTGTGGTTATTTTAATGCTATGAAAAGTGAATTGATTTTGCTTTGTTATTTGAAGTTACAGTTCCTTGCAAAGAGCGCATGCATTTTAAATAAGAAACAGCATACTACAGGCAACAATAGAAGGGATTTCTCATTAGAATTGTAGGAGATGAGTAACCTTTTCTTTCAGATAATCTCAAGTCGTATAAAGTAAAAGTTTAAATTGAATATATATTTAAATGAGAGTTAGGTGTTTTTGAAATGAAAGTTAGGCACTGATACTCATCTTTAGGCACCTAAATACCTTTGAAAATTTGTCCCTTAGGCTGATATCCTGTGGACATTCACAACATATTGGTGAAGCTTCTTTTGGATGCAGCAAATTTAAGGTTTGAGATTAAAAATGAGTGCAAAATGATTTTCATTCTTAGTGCTGAACTGGGTGTGCTTTGCAGTATGTTTTGTTGAGCTGAGTGTAGTCTGTGCTTCTTTAAATACTTATACGTTACATAAACAACATTTGTTATTTCTTTCATAGCGTAGTTAGTGGTGTCATCATTTCACTAAATAGAAATGGTTTAAGGACCAAATTTAATTCCAGTTTCAAAGCCTTTTAAAATAGGAGTCTTTTAATTGAATTTAGTGGACCTTTGGATCAAGAGTTCTCTTTGGCAGTCAGCAAAAGTTTTCCATGTCACTGCTGAATATTTTAACTGAATTTTTGTTTTAATTTGTAGGCAAGTTCAGAATGCTCACACGGGGATAGACTTGTCAGTGCCAGAGTATCAGGAAATCCGGGGGAGGATGCTGTCTGGCCATGTGGAATATCACATTGTAGTTGTTACCCGACTGGTAGCATTCAAATCAGCAAAGCACAAACCCGAGGATGTGGTTCAGTTTATGGTAAGTAGTTAATCATTGCAGTGTTTGATAAAGAAATCCTTTGGGGTTTTCCCCTCTAAATCAGCCTTCATTATTTTATACTGTTGTGATATTACATATTTGATTGCATTCACAGTCTTCAACAATGTACCCACTAATCTTCTCCATCCATGTGCAGAATAATTTTTGTGTGCACTGAGACATGTGCGAATGTACACCACTGTAGAAACAAAAAACCTAGCTGTGGGCATTCTGCTAATCAGATGGACGGCATTTTAATCTCTCGTGAATTACCACACAAATGCCCAGTTTACAGGGAACACTGGCCTTTAGCATGACAGTGCAGTTTGGGTTGGAACAGAAATAACTGTACTTTGCATTTCAAAGCACTTTACAAAAGTAGGCGAATATTATCTCCATTTAAGACAGGGTAGGAAATCTCTGTGCTCTTTCTTCAACATCTTCTGAGGCGCCCTGTGCTCCCCAAGCTGTTCTTGTTTAGTAATGTGATTTCTCAAATTTCATATGTACTCTGCAGTGGAATTGGTCCAGTTCCCTGTTTATTGTTAGTCATCCTGGCTGTTCACCTTTCCTGGGGAAGTCTTAAAGTAAAGTCGATTTATAGGAATGAATTTTATCCCATCAAATATTTTTTGCTCATTTGACCCCTGACTTTGTTGGAAAACAGTTATAGCATGTGGAAGTAATTGTAAACCCTGAGCTTGTGCAGTGGTAGGATATATGGTTCATATTGGTTTACTGTTTTGTATTACAATAGCACCTTGGGCTTAGTCGCATGAGTCCATTGTTCTAGGTATTGTACAAACAGAACCAAAATATGGTCCCTGGCCTATGGAGCTGATAATCTTATGTACAGGACCAGAGATACCAGATGGATACAGGTAGGGAGAGGACATTAAATTGAGACATGATTGGTCAGCATGACAGGCAGTGGTCTGAAGAAACCAGCAGCCTGACCACTGTCAAGGTTTTTTTGTAGGCATCATGGCAAAAAAGAGTTTTGAGGAGGTTTTTGAAAGAAAATAATGCAATGACTGTGCATGATTGTGGAGAGCAGCTCCCAAACATGAGGGGCAGCTTGGGAGGACGCATGAAGGTGCTAATTTGAAAATTTAAGAAGCAGGCAGTGGAGGCATCATGGGCCTCTCAGAGTTAGGAGTCAGCTTTTTGATACTGAGTGAGAGAGGCTAGGCAGGGTGGAGACAGGCTGTTATATGTAGTTAGTCATTTGAACAGGTGTTTCTCAACCAGTGGTATGAGTACCCCTAGAGTACTTGAGAGAAGTCTGGGGGAGTACATCAACACAACTGAAATTTGGAGAAAACTGAATTTTCGTTTTAAGTTTTACAGCGCTTTATTATTTTTGTACTTTTTTCACCCAAAAATTTCATCGCCCGCCCATCTACGATTAAATTGTTTAAACAAATGTGTTGGAATGGTAGAAAAAAAATGTTGTGTGTCTGAAAACTGTAAGTACTGGAGTACTTATATATTTATATATA